ATAAATAAATTATTTTAGTCTGTACAGAAATATATATTAATCTATTTTTGAAAAATATTTTATAGTTCCTGTCATTGTCACGGACAATTCCACCACACCTCTACCAACCACTGTCACTTCCACTACTGCTGCACCGACTACTAGTTCCACTACTGCTGCACTGACTACTAGTTCCACTACTGCTTCAGCTACAACTGTTGTACCTACAACTACAGTTTCAAGTGGAGTATCCCACAAGATTAATCCCAGAATTGCTTTCCTCCTGGTGCTGTTGTTTTGCCTTCTATTAAGCCAGCAATAGCATCTGTGCTGGTTTCCATGTGAAAGGCCAGCAGAACACGATCTCTTTTAATAACATGAAAAAAATGTAATGTCAGCAGAAATCTGATATGTTATTATTTATAAGGGTTGTTGGGTTTGTTCAGGTGCACTTTAGTTGGACACATCAGAAAGAGTAGCTCTAGTATGTTTATCTACATTAAAATATTTTCGGGTGGGAATGACCCTGCCCTGAACAGCATTTTTTCATTCTTTACATCAATTCATTGTTTCTAAATGCTTGTAAAATTATATATTTTGAGTTCTATTTCATATATATCATACACAGTATATATCACAAATTACATGTAATAGTGTTAAGAATAGATCTTCAGGTGTCCCAAAACATGCACTGTCACTTTTCTTATTTATACAAATGTATTTAAAAAAGTATCTTTACATGTATTCTGTGAAATTTCTTTTAATTTGCACATTTTCTGTAAGAAAAGTCAAAATGACCAGAATACATCTTCATGAGAAATTAACACTGTTAATTATCACTATTTAGGTTTGGGTAAATAAAAAGCGAATCAGGAAACTTTCAAGATGTGCAACAACTGCATGTAAAAATCTTTAATAAAAACAGAATATTTACGGATTGGTTTCTGTTATGTCGTTTCCTTAAATGAATATTTGCAATAATTTCTCACAACCTGATAGTGTCACACTCAGATATGTCAGGGGGTGAGCTTGCAAGAGAGAGCCATACCTTTCAAATATGTCCATCCATCCATTCATCCATCCATCCATTTTCTTCCACTCATCTGGGGCCGGGTCGCGGGGATAGCAGCCTTAGCAGAGAAGCCCAGACCTCCCTCTTCCCAGCCACCTCCTCCAGCTTGTCTGGGGGAATACCAAGGCATTCCCAGGCCAGTCGAGAGATATAATCTCTCCAGCGTGTCCTGGGTCTGCCCTAGGCCTTCTCCCGGTGGGACATGCCTGGATCATACACCTCCCTCACCCAGGAGGCGCCCAGGAGACATCCTTGTCAGATGCCCGAACCACCTCAACTGGCTCCTTTTGATGTGGAGGACCAGGATCTCTAAGGAGAGGACAGCTACCCTTCGGAGGAAGCCCATTTTTGCCACTTGTATCCATGATCTCGTTCTTTCGGTCACTACCCACAGCTCGTGACCATAGGTGAGAGTAGGAATACAAATCAACTGGTAAATTGAGAGCTTTGTTTTTACACTTCCCTCTTAACCACGATGGACTGGTACAGCATCCATATCACTGCAGCCGCAGCACCAGTCCACCTGACAATCTTCTGCTCCCTTCTCCCATTACTCGTGAACAAGACCCTTCATCTCCTCCACTTGGGGCAGGAACTCGTGCCTGACCTGGCGTGGGCACTCCACCCTTTTCCACCTGAGGACCATTGCCTAAGATTTGGAGGTGCTGATTGTCATTCCCACAGCTTCACGCTCAGCTACGAACTGTTCAAGTGTGAGCTGGAGGCTATTAAATTCGGTTCTTTGGAATTCTTTTGGCGAAAGAGAAAGACTTCCGACTCAGAGTGGTCAAAGCTCAAAAAATGATCTTTATTGTACATTTCCGGAAACGGAGAACTGCAGACACGAGCACGCACCCCCAGTTCTAAAGGCATTGCCAGCCAAAATACGTATATATAATTCTGCTATACGTCACACACAGACACACACAGTTTCATTCAAAACAACTCCTTCTGGTTGGACTAATGTGTGTGTGTGTGTGTGTGTGTGTGTGTGTATGTGTGTGTGCATGTGTGTGTGCATGTGTGTGTTACTTAGTTCTGCTTTTTCTGTCTGATTTCCTGTATTTTATTAATATGCCTCTGCAGCTCTGCACTAAACTTCCTGTTTCTTAACTCCCCCTTACTAAAGCCTCTGTTGCTAGGTGACCTGTCACCCTCTGACCTAGTTCTTTCTCACATCTGGCCTTGGTTTATAAAGGCCTCTATTATTAAAATACATAAAACAATCTAATCAGAAAATAAGCACTAAGAATATATATATATTTTGTAACAAGGCCATCACCCAATGAAGCCAACAGAACCACATCATCCACAAAAAGCAGAGATGACATTCTGAGACGACTCAAGTGAAAGCCTACCACCACTTGGCTATGCCTAGAAATTCTGTCCATAAAAATTATGAACAGAATCTGTGACAAAGGGCAGCCGTGCCAGAGCCCATTACCCACCGGGAATGAGTCCAACTTATTGCCGGCTATGCAGACCGAGCTCTTGCAGTGGTTGTATAAGGATCGAATGACCCACAGCAATGGGCCAAACATCCCATACTCCAGGAGCACCCCCCACAGGACACTCATATGGACACGGACGAATGCTTTCTCCAAATCCACAAAACACATGTAGACTGGTTGTGCAAACTTCCATGCACCCTCAAGTATCCGTAAGAGAATAAAGAGCTGGTCCAGTGTTTTACAACCAGGATGAAAACCGCATTATTCCTCCTGTATCCGAGGATCGACTAGCAAACAAACTTTCCTTTCCAGCACCCTACCTTCCCAGGTAAGCTGAGGAGTGTGATGCCCCTATGGTTGGAACACACGCTCTGGTCCCCTTTCTTAAAGATGGGAACCATCTGCCAATCCAGAGGTATTGCCCCTGATCTCCATGTAACATTGTACCAACCAGGACTCAAGGCGGACCTCATCCACCCCAGGGGCTCTGCCAACAAAGAGTTGTTTAACTGCCTCAGTGACCTTGCCCCCGGGTCATCCCCTTCATCCCCACACTCTGTTTGCTCCATGGTAGACGTACCAGTGGGATTAAGGAGGTCCTCGAAGTATTCCTTCCACTGCCTGACAATTTTCTCAGTCAAAGTCAGTAGCGCTCCACCCGCACTATACAGAGTGCAGGTAGAGCACCGCTTTCCCCTCCCGAGTCACCTGACGGTTTGCTGGAACCTCTTTGAGGCAGTTCAAAAGCCTTTTTCCATGGTGTTGTGGGGCCTTCTCAAATGTAGGCATAGTCAGGAAGTGTTTGGAGTGTGTACTTTATTATGCCAGCCTCCCAAGTGCACAAAGGATTATTTACAAAAAGAATGAACAAATAACTCAATCCAAAATAAAACAAAACAAAAAATCTATTAGCAAAGCTCAAGTGGCTGAAGCAGCCGACTTGTTACCCTCACAGTATCCATCTGACAGACTCCCAGGTAGCTCTGATAGCCTATCCATATACTCCATTACCCCTCCCACTAGTCATAATATTTATCCTTCAAGGCAATTTTCTTCATAAAACAATATTTTTCTCTGCTCATTTCCTACTGTGTTTTCTATAACAGTCACAAATACATTTATGACTAGTTTCAGACAACCTGCAATGTCACGTAATAAGAAAAAACCCAAACAAAGAATAATGGCATTCACATGACCCTCTAAGCACACGCGAACCTACTATTTACACACAAATATGGCCTCTGCGAACTCCTCCCACACCCAATTTTTTCTTCATCCACTGCCTTAGCCACATTCCACTTGGACTAAATAAATATTATGCTAAATTAATAGCCAGGTTCCAGGTTCATATCTTGGGGGGGCTTTTGGGGGAGATCTGCATAATAGCTTTGCTGGTTTGCTTCTTGTGTCTGTGCCCGTTGGATTTTGGATGGATAGAACTACTCGATCTGGCTCAATCTCGAGGAACATGGATGGTTGGTACCCTAGGGATACTTCAAAAGGTGAGAGGCTTGTAGCAGATGAGATAAGAAAACTGTGTGCATATTCTACCCATGGGAGTTGTGAAGACCAGGTAGCAGGGTTTTGAGTTGTGACACAATGGAAGTCTCCTTCCAATTCCTGAACTAATCTTTTGGTTTGGCTATTAGTCTGTGGGTGGAATCCAGAACTGGCCTTTGCTCCCAGACTGGTGCAGACCTGAGAAGTGAACTTCTGTCTAAAACTATTTCTAGAGGATTGCCAAGAGATAGAAAACAACAGTAAGTAATTTAGCAGTTTCAGACGCAGTTGGTAGTTTATGAGGGCAACAAAGTGTGCTGAAAATCTGTCTGTTATGGAGAGGATAACCATATTTCCAGAGGAAGTGGGTAAACTGTCAACAAAGTCCATGGCGATGTGAGACCATGGTTAGTGAGGAGTGGCTGGTGGCCGGAGGAATCCTGAAGGACACTAGGTGCTATTTTTGCTGCGTGTGCAGATGGAACAGGTGACTATGTACTCTTTAATATCTCTTTCAAAAGTATTCCACCAAAAGTACTGTTTAATCAAAAAAGGGTTCTACTCACTCTGGGATTACAGGTGAACCTGGCAGTGTGAGCCCAATGAATAACCGCTGAACGAGCAGAAGTGGGAACTTAGCGTAGATTTGGTGGACTGGTACTGGGGCCTGGCTCATTCAGAAGTTTCTGGTGGATGATTTCCTCAATGTCCCACATGAGGGAACCCACTTTGCAGCTGGATGGGAGGATGTTTTATGGCTCTGGTTGGTCAGGGTTGGTTTGAGCTTTCTGGAACATGGATAAACAGAAATGGAGAAATTAAAGCGGCCAAAAAACAGAGACCAATAGCCTTGGCAAACATTGAGCCTATTGGCAGCTCTCAGGTAAATTACATTTTTGCAATCAGTTCAGATAATTAAATGTTGTTCAGGTTTCTCTAACCAAAGACAACACTCTTTAAAGGCTGGCTTAACTGCTAGCAGTTTACACGTTTTCAGTGGGAGAAACATTTTGTTACTCATCCAAGTGACTTTTTCAGTCTCAGCTGACTGCAGATTTCCCCAATCTTATAAACAGTACATTGCATAATGACAAACTGGTGATAGCTAGTTTGTCTTTTCCACCACATAGTAGTGGTGGAAAAGACAAACTAGCTATCACCAGTTTTTTCACCAGAAGACAAACTAGCTATCACCAGTTTTATCACCAGAAGACAAACTAGCTATCACCAATTTGTCTGTCTGTATCTGGAAGTCTCATAGGAGCTTAGTTTGGTCATTCTCAACCGCCACTTCCAGATTTCTTATATGCTATGCCAGTCACTTGGCTATGGTGTTGTATGCCCTTCCTGCTAGCATCTTCCACCCTGCTGTTATGTGCTGGATTGTCTCAGGGGCATTTTTAAACATCCTGCGCCTGGGGTATGTCTGGTGTGGTAGGCTCCTGTCTCAATGGATCTTATTTCTGAACTGCTGATGATTGCTCCATTCCATATTCAGTATTGATAGCCAGTATTGTCAGTTTATAGCATTGGAGACAGGGCATCTCCTTGGTATATCGTGCACTTGATGGTGACTTGTGCTATTGGCCTGAAGTTGGTTTCAAGTGTTGTTCAACACATTCCCTTTGAATTCTTGATGAACTTAAGGCTCTGTTGATCTTGTATAATTCCAGGATCCATGAGTGGGGCATCGAGTCATAGGCTTTCTTGTAGTCAATCCAGGCAACGCACAGATGAGTTTAGTCAGTTTAATCTTGCAGTTTATGTGGTACTGAGGCTGTCACAATCCTGGGTCTTTTGACCCAGCTTTTTTGAGTTTTGGTTTATTAAGTAAGTAAGTAAACTTTATTTATTAAGCGCTTTTC